AAAATACTCATGCAATTTTTACAAAACTTGGCAGTTTGGCGTGATTTGAGTCATAGAATCGAAATATGGAAAAACATTGGCATATCATTTCAGAGAAAGTACGATTTTGAGTCAGGATACCTATATTAGAACAAAGCTATATACACTGGTGAAATAAATTAAGAGAATATGCATATTTTATTGAACTGCATGAAAAGAACTGAACTGAAGGAAAAATCACTGCTTCTAGATAAAAATGCAAATCTTGTACGGCAAATATCTCCCATTCAAATATTTCTGTACACGTGTGTGTAGGCAGAGCCAACAAAAAAAAAAAAAAAAAAAAAAAAAAAAAAAAAAAACAGGCTTTATAAGCACGTGGAGGATAAGACAATTTGCTTTTGCTAGCACACCTTGGCAAATTTCTTGGTGTTATCTTGCAGCAATTGGTTAAATTCACATCAGAACAGTAAAATTGAGTAACCACCAACGTTTAGATGATGGAATGAGGTGGCGAATTGTGGGAAGGCTAAGGTGCAAGTCCAGATATGTAGAGAGTTTAATTTAACACCCAGCGTCGTGTGTAACCTATGGAAACAGTTCCAGGATACTGGATCCATCGAGAGAAAGCCTGGGCAAGGTCATCCAAGAGCCACGACGGCCAGAGAAGATCGCTATTTGTCCATTTTAGCAAGGCATAACAGAGGGGCTACAGCTTCTCAGCTCTCTCGGGACCTGTATGCAGCTACAGGAACCCATGTAACAAAAGTTAGGTTACAAAGGTGACTGTTTCCAAAAGACTGAATAAGAGAGGGTTGTTTACCAGAAGACCGGCTGTTTGCGTCCCGCTCATGTTTACAAACAGGAGAGTCTGATTAGCATAGTGCAGGCAGCATTGATTGCCTGCACCATGCTCCGTGATTGGAGTATGGAGCAATGGGCGATTGTTCTGTTCACACCGACAAGTCACCTTTTAATCTAAATGTAGATTCTCGTCTTACTTTCATATGGGGAGAGCTAAGAATCCTGTACCTACCCTCCAATGTCTGCGAAGTCAACAGTTATGGCAGTGGCAGTGTAATAGTCTGGGCAGGCATCATGTTGGATGGCCACACACCTCTCCACGTCTTTGACAGAGGCTCTGTGACTGGTGTGAGGTATAGAGATGAGGTCTTGGAGCTCTATGTTCACCTTTTCCGGGGTGCAGTGGGCTCCGAGTTCATCTTACAGGATGATAATGCGAGGCCACATAGAGCTGTTCTGGTCGATGAATTTCTCAAGAGTGAGGATATTCGCCGTATTGATTGGCTAGCCAGGTCTCCAGACTTCAACCCTATACAGCATATCTGGGACGCTCTGGGGAGTGCAATTGCAACTCGCACCCCTCCTCCGAGAACCAACCAGGAACTGAAAACAACGTTGCTGAATGGGACCACTTACCACAGGAACTGATAAACTGCCTTTTTCCAGTATGACATCACACTGCGAGGCCTGTATGGCTGTAAGAGGGGACCATACCCCCTATTAACCCATTTCTTTTGTGTCTTCTGCAATCGCTGTTTCAGACCTTAAGACTCCCATGAGTGTTACACACGAACATGTGTGTCTATTATAACTGTTGAATGTTTATTTCGTTTGTATTATATCAACTTATGTTCACACCAAATTTTATTAAAATCTGTCCTGTAGATCTGGAGATCATAGATCAAATATGAAAATTCTCTTCATATATTTCACCAGTGTATAAATCTAATACATATCCTAAGTCGTGCTTTTGAGACAAAAACGCAAGTTGAATTTCGTCAATCGCCCCACTAAAAAGGAGATATAGAATTGCTGTTCTGCTGGGCCAAGAACCTTTTCTACTGGGCTGTACTTACTTCTTAATTCATAGCGAGCTATTTTTCTTTTCTTTTTTTTCATTGTAGACGTGCAGAAAAAAACTCATCGTTCATATGCTCAAATAATTTTAACAAAGTGCATTAACCACATCTGGCATTATTATCACTCAAAAAAAGATGTTAAATTTCAAAATGCTCTAATATGTAAATTCAAGTATATCCTAGAAAATTTTGAATAAAAAACTAATTTTTTGCAATTTAATTTCGTCAATCGGCCCAGTAGAACAGGAGATATAGAACTGTCCCATTTTTTTTGTTGGCACTTATTTTAGTTTGATTTGATGTATTTGGTTATGGCAATTATTATTATGCTATATGTTTAAGTGACGACTATCTGCCTAAGGGAAGAGATGCCTTTATGGGAGGTTTTTAAAGAAAGCTGGCTCCTATCTAAACTGGTTATCATAAGTTAAGGAAAAATCACAAAAATCACGATTACTGAAAAAGTTACATGTAGAATTTTATGAAACTTACCCACAATATATAACACATAGTAAAATATCAAATAACATAAAAAGAAATTACCAGACAATTATGGTAGTATAGAAATTAGCACATGTATAAAATGAACAAATCAAAGATGTCATTTGCTATAGTAAAAGTACCTTCAATATGGAATATATAATCGCCTCTAGAAGCAATACAGCACATTCAGCGATGTGTGATGCTTTCAATTATGCGGTCTATCAGTTCCATAGGAAGCAAAAGCCATTGCTTTTGCAAAGCAGTTGCAAGCATGGCAAGGGTCTAAGGGGTCGGATTGAGAGCAGCTAAACGTCTCCCTAAAGCATCCCAAATGTGCGCCCACCAGCGGCCAAGTGGTAAAGTCGCTGAACACTGATAGTTCGGTCCGAGGTTTGAATCCCGCGAACAGGCTGGCTGCATGGGTGTTTTCGTGGTTTTCCCCATGTGTAACGTGTATATGAGCCAGTTTCCCTTAGAAAGTCCTCCACGAAGGCGTCCCTCCCCTTAGGCAGATAGCCCTCGAGGCTTTGCCATAATCACACACATCCCAAACATGCTCGATAGGATTCAAGTCCGGAGATCGAGCAGCCCACTCCATGCGCATAATTGCTTCCTGTTGAAGACAATCATCTATGATGCAAGCCCTATGTGGTCTTGCATTGTCGTCTTGTAACAGAAAGCATCACCTATTGCCCCGGCATATGAGCGCACATAAGCATCAAGGATGTTATCTCTATAAACATGAGATTACATCACGGTTCCGGTTCCCCTTGGAAAGACATGAATGGTCTGTGCGTCCACCCAAACAGATGCCACCCCAAACACAGACACTGCTTCTTCCGTATGCCATCTCTTTCACGGGATGTTTGATGGATGATAATGGGTTTCTAGGTTCTCTCCACATCAAATAAATGCCTACTAATAGCATTTCTAGACTTAAACCTGGACTCATCCGTAAATAGAACCTGCCCTCCACTTGATCAGGCATCCAGTGGACATTGTTGTCATGCCTACTGCAAAACAGTCCCTCCTATGGCATGACGTGAGCGGCACGCAAATGGCTGGTCGTCTCGCATACAGACCACCTTCGTGAAGCCTTCTACACACAGTTGACGTTGTCACCAACCTTCCGGTTGCTGCAGCAAGGGAGAATCTAAGAAGAGTCGGAGTAGCGGTTCTCTTCCTAAATGCACATAATGTCAAATATTGGTCATCGGCGCTCGTCATAGCAGTTGGCTGTCCTTGGCTGAACCTCCAAGGGGCTGAATCTGTGATTTGAAATTGCCTCCAAAGTCTACGAATCACAGAAGGACTCTCATTTAGCCATCTGGGCACTTATGTTTGACTTTGTCCTTCCTCTAGTCTCCCAATGGCTTTCTGTCATAGTTCTGCAGGCAAATGATGCGTGGAGATCTTTGTAACGAATTGGCTATCTCAGATTTCTGATGTCACTATCACAGTGAAATATGTGGGCTTGCTCTCAAACATGGACTTTTATGTTCCTCTCAGATGACGTATTCCGAGTGCAGCACCACTAATTTGCATATTGGAGTTTTACTCAGCTACTCTTACTTGGCAACAATTTCAAATTTTACACGGTTTGGCTTATTTTTGAGGGAGTTATCACTATTTTTGTGATTTTTCCTTAATTTATGATAACCAGTGTATGTTACACTTGGGAAAAACTATAAACTATGAAAATGTCTATGCCAGCTAGCCTGTTCACCTAAACTCAAACTCTCAATTGTTCAGCCACTTTACTGTTCAGTCATTTGTTATTTTAAAATTGGTACTCTTCTATTATTGGGATCGGACTCAGAAATGTATGTATGTATGACGTGTGCATGTATGTATGTGCCTACACACGAACACACACATACATTTGTGAATCTGGTTCCAATAACAGAAGAGTACCAGTATATCTTATACTTTTGTTGTGATTGTCCTAGTTGCAAATCTCTTAACTAATTTCTTGATTTGCTTAAGAATATCCATTATTCCTCATTTATATACGTGAAAAAATAATCAGGTTGAATAAAATTATTTTGATTCAGTAATCTTACATTTTTGGTTATTATTACATGCATTCCATAAAGATGTGAATAATAATGGTTTTAAATTAAAAATGTATGTAAACTGAAAATTCTGTGTAATAATTTTATGTTATTTGAAATAACACCTTTTTTTAAATGTATTTATATTTATAAATTTTGGGATTCAGATTTTGACAGCATTTACAATTAAATTAATACCTTGTATGTTCCTTTTATAATTTACAGCAATTATTTTTGTATTTTTTAATAAAAATTCATTTTTATATTTGTACATAGAGTTTCATCTAATGTTTATATTTTCATAGTATAAAATAGGAATTTAAAGGCTGTAATTTTGTAGTAGTCTATATTCAACCTTATATTGGTACTAATTGCATTAAAAAGCACTTTGTCATTGTGAGGGAGTTAAGCATAGATGTTTCAAAATATTTTAAAAGTTTTTTGCTGAATAACTATCAGTCTAAACTCTTGAATTTTGTTAATTAAATGCTTTTGTTAAATCTGTATGTAATTGTATATAATTGATCTTCATATTTAAGAACTTAGCTTTCTTATTCTTGTATGAACTGAATGTATTTTTGCATTAATTCCCCCCCCCCAGTGTGAATCATTATTTTTGTGTGGAGTAATTCTGTTGGTTACCGATCAGAAAATAGATGGAATAGTAAGAGAAAGAATGCTTGTTTCTTACTATCGTTACAGGTAAAACTGATTTTAGTATTTTCTTATTGTACTCAATGCTTTCATTATGTGCTCAGTGTTTTTGCTTACAAAATTATCTAATAAATTAGGTGAGAATTTGGTAGCTGCTTTAAAACTCAATATTTTAAAATAAATATAAAAAGTACAGAATATGATGTAAATAAAGAGTTAATTGTGGCCTTTCTAAATTTTTTTAACTGTTTTTTCTGATTTTTCCAATGTTTATATATTGTGTCAGATCACTGTAAAAAGTCTGAATTATTGTTGACTTGCTGAATGCTGAATTCCTGAATGTGAAATACTATTGTTCTGATACTGAGTTTAAACAAGGATTAGTGCTAAATATTTGCAACAACAAAGTTTTCTGTCAAAACTATTATTATATTTAAATTTATTGTAAATAAATGAAAAACTGGAAGGTATTCCTTCAAGTATCTGATTTATGAAGACAGAGGCCGACCTCACTGAACTTTTTGAGATTCCTCATCATATATATATATGGTACAAAGTCCAAGATCCAGACTCATTGGGACTTCGATTCCGGATTTGGTATTTTCCGGTAGTTTAAATATAGTTAGATGGCATAAAATTTAAAATATGAAATTGTGGTTTTTGAAATAAGGAAAAAATTATGAACTAAAGGGTACCAAAATTTACAAAAAACAACAAAAAAATAATTAATATTTATTTGTTTACTTTATTAAACATTTCTCTTACATTTAAACTTACATTGGTAAGTTGTTTAAATTGCTTCATTTTTTGTGCTAATACTTTCTCTTTAATTCTGTAGACAGACATAATTTCTTATTTAGGTACATTGTGGAAGTCCTGTAATTGCTGTGGTGAGAATTCTGACTAATTTGTCAATTGAAATTTTTTCGTTTTCAGTAACCTCTCAGTCACTTTCTTCACTATCGTTAGACATATTTTCTGAATCTAGAACCATACTACAGATTTTGTAAATTGATTGCGTAAAGCATTCGTAAAGCATACAAACAAGAATTTTAAAAAAAAGCTTGTTGGTGACTTTGGGGTCCAGATTTTAGATCATTCCGGATATTGGACATCCGGATCTCGGACTTTGTACTATATATATTTGGTGGTCGTGTGTGCTTAATGCATGATATAATTAAAGAAAATAAGAGTAGACAATCTCCTATAACAAAAGAATATATTAAATACTAAATTACAATTTAAATTACATTGCAGAGATCAACACAGAGCTCGGAACACAGTTCGTGCTAGCGTCGCGTACACGTTGTCCGACGAGAAGTCTGAGTGAGTAAAGATGTCGCTTTGCTGCTCCGATTAAGAACTGGATTTTACACGTGGCGCCATCTCATGAAGAGAAGTTGAAGTATCTGTCGGAACGCCACAGTACTCCCCCCCAAGTACCATTGGTACGTTATAAGTACTTTGGGTTAAATTTAACCTTTCTTCCAGATCTGGTAGTTTTAGGTTGCTCTTTTAACGGGATGTAAGCTTTCTTCCGGGAGTGATGTTGATGAGGAAGTTGTTGGATCTTGCATTAGAAATGCTGGTTTGAGACGATCGATTCCAATCACTGATTGTTTGCCATTGCAGATGATGGTGAAATGTTTCGGTGTTCGTTTGACAACTTTGAATGGACCATCATATGAAGGTGTTAAAGTTGGCTTAATTGCATCGTTGCGCACGAATACGTGCGAAGATGTCTCAAGCGCAGGATGTACAAAATAGCTTGGCTGGTTATGCGAAGATGCTGGGGTTGGCGAGATATTGCTCATGGTCTCACGTAAACGTTGAAGGAATGTTGGAGGGTCGATTACTGGAGTAGATTCTGGGTGAAAGAATTCACCTGGCAGACGGAGGGTTGCACCATATAACATTTCAGCACAAGTGCTACCAATGTCTTCTTTGAATGCTGTGCGAAGACCAAGCAAGACTAGGGGTAAGGCTTCTGTCCAGTGTGTGCTACTGTGGCACTTCAGACCTTGTTTGAGAGATCGGTGAAAGCGTTCCACCATCCCATTTCCAGATGGATGGTATGGTGTTGTGCGAATATGGCGAATGCCAAGAAGAGAGGTGAGGGATGCGAACAAGTGACATTGAAATTGTCGGCCTTGGTCAGTAGTGATGGTGGTAGGCATGCCAAATCTTGAAAGCCACTGGGAGATGAATGCTCGAGCTACAGTTTCAGCGGATATATTTTTTTTCAATAGGAATGGCTTCAGGCCATCTTGTGTACCGATCAATACAAGTGAGGAGGTAAGTGTAACCATTTGAAGGAGGCAATGGGCCAACCAAGTCTAAGTGCACATGATCAAAGCGTCTTGCTGGAAGGTTAAATTGTTGAATGGGGCTGTGAGTGTGACGGGATACTTTACACCGTTGACATCTAATACATGAACGAGTCCATTCTGTGATGTCTTGATTCATTGCTGGCCAGACAAATCTGTCTGCGATCAGCTTTTTGGTGGCACGGATTCCAGGATGTGCCAAATTGTGCAAGGCATTAAACACTTCACGTCTAAAATTGACAGGAATATAGGGACGTATTCTATTGTTCTCTATGTCACAGTAAATTTTAAGCGTTGGATCAATGTGCAGTGGTTGTAACTGAAGGGAGGTTTGTGGATTTGAGATTAGGTTCTTGAGTTCCTCATCATGCAATTGAGCTTTTGCAATTTCAGAGAAATCTGGGGTAGTGAGGTTGATATTGTTTACCCGAGACAAGGCATCAGCGACACAATTATCAGTACCAGAGACATATCTGATATCTGTACTAAACTGGGCGATGAAATCCAGATGTCGAAGCTGACGAGGAGAACATGAGTCAGAGTTTTTTCTAAAAGCGAAGGTTAATGGTCGATGATCGGTGAAAATGATGAAGTCGTGTCCTTCCAAGTTGTGCCGGAAAGTATTTAACAGCACAGTACACAGCAAGTAGCTCTCTGTCATATGTGCTGTATTTCCTTTCTGCAGTAGTGAAGTTTTCTGGAAAAGAATGCCATTGGGGAAAGTCCTTTAGTGGTATGGGCTTGAAGCACTGCTCCTATGGCCGTGTCAGATGCATCTACCATTATAGAGAGCTGATCACTAGGTGAGTGATAAGAAAGTGTGGCTGCATTTGCCAGATCGTGTTTGCATTGCACGAATGCTGCAGATGCAGATTCAGTCCAAGGGACAGCTCGTTGATCTTTTTTTTTTTTTTTTTTTTTTTTTCTGCTATTCTTCAGAAACTCATGTAGGCAGGCTTGTGTTTTTGCGGCATTTGGCAGAAAGCGTCGGTAGAAATTTAACATTGCTAGAAAACGCTTCAGTTCAGAGATGGTTTTGGGCTGAGGTAGGTCGTTAATTGCTTTGACTCTTTCCGGTAAAGGTTTTAACTCCATTCTGGGTAATAAGACATCCAAGAAAGGAAACTGAGGGTTGACCAAGTACACATTTGGATGGATTTAGTTTTAATCCATGATCTTTAAGGCGAGTGAAAATCTGACGCAGATGTTGAAAATGTTCTTCCGCATCTGTAGATGCAACCAGGATATCATCAAAATATGGGATGCAGAAATCGAGACCAGACAGTACTTGGTGTATGAAACGCTGAAATGTTTGGCCAGCATTGCGAAGGCCAAATGGCATATATAAGTACTCAAAGAGACCAAATGGTGTAGTCACTACTGCGGTCTTGGGCACATCTTCAGCATGCACTGGGATCTGATGATATGCTCTGGCAAGATCGAGGGTAGAAAATATGTTTGTTCCATGAAAAAGATGGGTACAGTCTTGGATATGTGGGACTGGATATCTGTCAGGGACTGTGACGGCATTAAGTCGACGATAATCTCCACAAGGCCGCCAGTCACCATTAGACTTTTTAACCATGTGAAGTGGACTGGCCCATGGACTTTTAGATGGGCGAATGGTTCCCTGTGCTAGCATGAATTCAAATTCTTTGCGAGCAGCTTTTAGCATCTCTGGAGAAAGACGACGAGGCTTGGAAAATACAGGTGGGCCATGTGTTTCAATGTGATGATACACTTCTGGCTGATGAGTATGCTGCCCTGATTTGGATGGGTTTAAAATGTCAGGGAATTCTGCTAATAACCGATGAAACCGTGTGCTGCCCGATAAAACACTTATGTTGGTAGGTACGTTTGATATGTGAGAAGCTTGGCCCTGTGATGTCAGCTGAGTTGTAGCATCAATTAAGCAATTATTCTTGACATCCACTAGAAGGTGGAAATGTGTCAAGAAGTCGACACCAATAATTGCTTGAGTTACATCAGCAATAATAAAAGGCCAGTTGAAAGTCCGGCGCAAGTTTAAATCAAGTGTCAATAGTTTGGTGCCGTAGGTTGCAATTTGGGTACCATTGGCTGCATACAGTACAAGTTTATTAAGTTGGTGAGAGCATTTGTTTTAGTTCTCGGGAGCACTGATATGTCAGCTCCAGTATCTACTAGAAAACATAACTGAGTTGAACGATCAGCCAGTACTATTCTGTCGATGTGGCGGACATTCTGTTGGCCAGCAGAAGACCGCCCATTTAGTTTCCCGCTTGTTCAAAAGTGCATGGAGGGGCACACTTGCGAGCTTGAGCTCCAAATTCATATGATAAAAACATATGCCACTTGTGGGTTCTTTGTACTGCGTTCGAGTATTGTGACGAGATCGACTTCCTGCTTCGAGGCACGAAATTTATTACGTGGGCCCTGATTTGATCGATTGTATCTCCGTGAAGCATGAAGACTTGTAGAGAGTTCAGATACTTTTTTGGTCAATTCAGCCACTTGTTTGTTCGAGGGATGAACTGGAAGGTGCAGCATTAGCAGCACTGACATAAGCTGGAGTAACAAGTTCATTAATTTTGTCAGCCATTGCTGCTAAACGGGTTAGATCTTCATTGGAAGCAGCAAGAATTATTTGTATGTTATTAGGGAGACGCGAAAGCCATAGTGACTTCAACAAGTCGTCACTAAAATGGCTTCCTGCCAGATCACGCATTCGTGACAAGCAAG